TCCGAATACTTGATGACGTGGAATCGAAACATATTCGGGCCAAGGTGAAGCCATCGATTTTTATACAGCCTGCACGCTGACACTCTATTTTAAACCGCATAGTTATACTTATTATTGATCCATTTCCATTTTATAATTAGTTTAATTGAGTCAGGCTTATTTCTAGTAACATATACGGTTCTAGTCGCGTGCTTACGTTTTGTACCTAATTTAATACTATTTTTTTTAATCTATACTTAGCTTAGTATGCTAAGTATTCTGTAGCTTTGTATTCTTTGTTTTAAATGAGTAAATAAGCTCTAACTCCAGGTAATATTAAGCGAATACGCGTTGAAACATGAAACGAAATCTTAATCAAACTATGATTCATACAAAAGCTGCCCAACCTTTCAAAACGGAAGCAATAACTGATTCGCGCTAAAAATGAATTCTGATTCCTAAGCAATATGACTTTCTACAAAAAAAAATGTAAGCAACGTACGCTGGTATTACTGGTGTAAGGACCTCTGGTGAGTCCGCACGGGTAGACACCACCGCCCTGCCTATTTCTGCCGTGAAGTAGTAACGCGTTTCGGTTTGAAGGGTGGGGCAGCAGTTGTAACTATACTGAGACCTTAGAACTTATATCTCAAGGTGAGTGGCGCATTTACGTTGTAGATGTCTATGGGCTTCAGTAACCACTTAACACCAGGTGGGCTGTGAGCTCGTGCACACGTCAAGGAATTATCACCCATCAAAGCAATATATTTTTTTTAGTGTAAATACAATAGTCCTTTAAATAAGCCTTTAATGTCTTAATCTAGTAGAGATTACAAGTTACGAACTATCAGAGTCACGTTAGGCACACACATACTCGTGAAATCGATCCTTCGTGAAACTTCAAACTTTTTATTAAGTGTCTAGCCAGCCACCACCATTTTCTTAATCGATTTTTTGACTAAAAAGCATACGACCAGCCCTATAGTGAGTAGTCAACGTCGCTTATGGATCTGAGCAACGCCAATGGCATAGCCAAACTGCTGAACACTCAAACCTTGTTTGAAGAGGACAGGTCATAGCACTCACGAGACGCCGTGGAGGTAAGTTTGTTCGAAAGCCAAATGGAGCAAAAAAAGAATATGGAAATGCTCTGTGGAGGTGCGCAATTTTTGTAGGTAATATGGTCATCATCACACTCTTTCCGTCGGTGAGGGTTAATATGGTATATCATATGACGAAAAATTAACAGCGCACTCCCTGAACTCCGTGCGTGAAAGATGATGTGCTACAAAACATAGAAAGAACTGAAGATGCTTCGTTCGAAGACAATTCAAACGATCCTGCAATCTCATACATATTAAATCCACTTTAAGACCAGAATCCTATCAAACACCCCAAATATCTACTAGAGAAATAAATATATCGTATCAATATGATATCCAATTTCTGAAATCATAAACTACAAACATCAACCTCGGCTACTGATATTAAAAAGAAATAAGTCACACGATAAAGTAGCCTTGAAAATGTACTACGAAAAATAGAACGCCAGACTTCAAGGGCTGAAGTCGTTAATACGAAAGGCCGCATTTAATTTTCGCCAACCGCCAGGGGAAATTACCATATTAGCACAAGGAAACACCGCGATGTTTCGTGGTGTATCAGGTCGGTTCAAGGGTTAAACTATGCCTTGACCTTTCTCGTAATTTATCACTTTGAGTTTGAAGGACAGTTGGAAGCCGCAGGGGAACTTCGAATCTAAATTGATTAGGGTTACCGCACTAATTCGAGATATCTGTTTGATGATTCCAGTGATAGCCCCGTTTGCTTTGTGCCCTCGTGTTTCATTGTGTTTCTGATCACGGATTTGCGGACTTTAAAGGCTTAGTAAGCATGATCTACATCAATACCACACCGTGTGCTTCTAAAGTGCTCTATAGATTAATATATTTATTTTTTTGTGGATAAAAAGAAGAGAAATGTTATGTAGCATCTGTGAATTATAGGCACCACAACAAATTACTGCCATCCATCTTGAGATTTATTTTTATTGGCGTTGGTTTTTATACGAGAATACCAAACAACTGATGTTAAGTAATCATCATTACTCAGGGATACTACAATACCAAGATCATAGCAAAGCTGCTGGCCATTGCTTCTAAAATCTCGTTTGAAATGCGTAGCTAAAAGATGTCCTGTAGTACCTTTCAACCCATGTCCCAATATTTTTTTTGTGTGAATAACGATAATTATTAGAAGGTAATTAATAAAAGTGCGCAATTTACAATAGCTTTAAGTAATTACTTTAGAAAAAACTAACAAACTATAAAACTTTTTAGAAAATAAGGTGGTTACTAAAAATACTTTTAAGAATTTGTTTTGATCAAAGCTGCTTACTCTCTTCCATTATTGTTGTCAAGTTGGAGCACTAAACTACAAAACTCTGGTAAGCTAGGCTAATTCGTAAAGCTCTGATAGCTAATCTAATTGATGAGCTTCGAAATTCACACACATTCCCAAAGCACAACTTTCTTTTCTACAAACGTCTTTTTTCTAGATTTTTATCTACTTAATCTGTTATTTTTTAAAGCGTTTTATTACAAATTAAAAAAAAAATGTATTGCCTCTTTAAGTCGACCAGCATACGGATCACCCAATGGTAAGCAGTTGCCGGTGCATATAGATATCATCAATATTATTTACGGTCACAGTCCTCGCCGAACCCGCTGCTTGCAACGAAGGCTCTGCGAGTAAATTAACCCACAGATACAGCCCACTGAGTTTCTCACAGGGTCTTCTCAGTGGGTCGCGTTTCCGATCCGGTGGTAGATTCTGTGAAGCACTGCTCTTGCAAGGGCCAGTGTTAGCAATACTCCTGGTTTGAAACCCGTGAGCTCACCTACTCTCACCCGGCTACGCTGACATAGCCTCTGCGCTTAAGTAGCTTAAGGTAGTACTGGTGGTAGGACCACTTGTGAGTCCGCACGGGTAGGTACCACCACCCCGCCTATTTCTGCCGTGAAGCAGTAATGTGTTTCGGTTTGAAGGGTGGGACAGCCGTTGTAACTATACTTGAGACCTTCGAACTTATATCTCAAGGTGGGTGGTGCATTTACGTTGTAGATGTCTATGGGCTCCAGTAAACACTTAACACCAGATGGGCTGTGAGCTCGTCCACCCATCTAAGCAATAAAAAAATAAATTAAAAAAGTCACACGTGATCTTGGACTTAGTGTTTATGATGGCCGTCAAAATTCAAAATCACCGAATCGCTTCAGTTCAGTTTCACGATATAGATTTTTTTTGTTTTTTTTTTTTCATTTCATTACATTTATTTTTGTCTAATTAATCATATAAATACCTGCCGATTAAGAAAAATCAAATAAAAAAAATCAAACTTAATATAAAGCTGCGTTTATGCGTTAATGAAAAAAACATCTTGTCAATTCAAATGAAAAATGAATATTTAATTAAAATTTCACAAACAACGTTGGCGTGTTGTCTATTGTAACTTAACTAAAAAATAAAGAAAGCCCTAATTTATATTTTTATTTTTTTAAATGTAACACTTTTGAAATCAAATTGACATCAATGACGCCATAAATTGCTAACGAGGCGTTCGATTTTATAAAATTGAATCTCGAACATATTTCAGATGACAGTTTGTAATTGAATTTCAAATAAGGCGATAAGCTTCTTAAATGCGCCTATTGGAATAATTTATGTACTTAATTTCGGATCAAAAGATTACAAATTGCTAGTCTTGTATCAAAGGTTTCTATCTAAACAGATGTTATTTTGATTCAGTGTTCTGGCAATTGCGATCTGCTGATGAAGCTAATGCTCCTTTTCTAGTATTTGATTTTGTGGAATGGCCAATCAATTTTTACTAATTAATGGTCTAGACTAATATTATCATTCGAACGACTGAAATAAATTAAGGATTTTGAGAATAAAATAATATCGTACAGTAATCGTTTTTGAGAAATTTAAATACAGCCCATATTTGCAGCCACATTTTAAGAAACGATTATTTATATTTTATCAGATATTTATATTTTACAAAGATGGCCAAATATTTATTATTTTTATAGAATGATCATTAAGGATTGTTTGATTACTAACAAGTTGTCCAAAGGACATTAAACAGTAAAACTTTTCCTGCGTCTTACTTTTTCTAATTTTCTCACTATCACACAAAAGTCCGACTTCGCAAATTGACTTATTTTCATTTATTTTCTTATAACCTTGGCCCACAGTGTACGACCCCCGACGCCGGATAGGTGGGTGGTATAAAGATACCTAAACGACTGCGACGACCTTGACTGATAAAAGCAAGCGAGTTGTACTGAATTATCGAATTAATTGAAGAGTTAGTGTAGGCTTATAGTATTTATTTATGTTATCAGGCTTGGCGGATTTCGAATATCAAACAGAATCTTTGATTTGTAAGGCTTAAGGAACATAGCTTTCGGCTTGTCTTTAAGTTGTGTATTCACACACAAACTCATCAAGTATTAAGTGACAACTGGTTCTTTTAGGCCCTACAAACACCTGTCAATGTCCTCGTCCATTACAACCAAAAGTTCAATGAGCGAACAAACCCTTGCTAGGGCTAGTTTTGGCAAATTCTCTCAGGTTAAGCCCGTAAGCTCACCTACCCGTCCGGATGATCTGGAGTTACCAGCTTACCTTAGATTACCAGTGAATAGGTAAGGAAAAAAGTGACAACTAAGATCCCTATACAATGGTGGGGCCTTATCTGAATAGCCAATTTGACCACAAACAGAAAATCATATTTTATTCTATCACAGAAAATGTCTAAGAGAATGCCTGAAAGTTTTATTGCAAAGAATGGGAATTGGAATGCTATGCAATCTATCTAAGTCAAAAACAATGAATCTCAGTTTGTTTTTTGAGCAGTTATTTACAATCTTCCTTAAAAAAATCGCGAACGTCTAGTAATTTCATAATTGTTCGTTGATACAATTAATTAAATGTAATGAACGAAAAAATCTTACCATATCAAAAAGAATAAAGTCGTAGGCCAAGTGCAAGGCATCATTTTTGAGGAAATCAGGGTCTGGAGGTGCAAATCTCGGAAGGCGGGACATTCCAACGCTGGTGGTATTTCTGTGGACAAATAAATTATATAGAGGTGGAGGTAATCTAAGGAAGAATGCTTTAAAATAGTGATTATAGTGTCCTTGAAACCACCGAACACCTTTTGCAATAATATCAGACAAACTCAATACAATCATCAGGTCTAGTTAATCCATTTCTGTCATTCTTATCAACAGCAATTATGAAATAAAATGTCAAGGAAATAACTGAATTGAGGTGAAACAGACAATTACATACGAACGCAACACAAAGGTGGAATTGGCTCATAATTTAGTAATGAAAGGAATTGATTATTTGAAATCGATAACTGGGGCTCTTCTCGACCTACTGACCGAATGTATGGAGTCTTTATATTTTCTGAGGGTTTCGCGAATATCGTTGACAATTTCGTGGTTTTACGTCGTCCTTTTAAGAACAGCTAATGAAGCTTTGTCACTAACAATTCTATCTATATCACATGGATTGCACACATTTGTCAAAACTACCACTGTCTTGGGTTAATTAATAGAATTAGCCTTCTCTGTAATACCAGTTTTAATCGTACCAAGTTTTATCATAAACAAAATAAGCGACTAGAAAGGATACAGAGGACGAAAACTTAAAGAAACATCCGCTGTTATTATAAAGACGCCAGAATATTCGAAAAATTTGACCAGAGATTTTTTCCAAAAATGTGGGTGCTATTCACAAAGTTTGCCACGATTGTTAACAGATCACAAGACGCAGCTATGTATACAATAATTGGTATCACTGCTAACGACTACACGTTGCCAATTTTAACTAAGGTTTGTATAACCGTCGATTTCAATTATGGATATAACTAAATTAAACTATACAATCAAATATTATTATTTTCATAAAAAGCCTAATGGCTAATCTAGTGCTAAATAGTTACCAGAGTACGAAGATAACAGCGAACGCTAAGCGACTTGATACAAGAGCCCAAAGTTATGGTGCTATGCCTGAGGAATTGTTTGAAATGATACCAATATCTCGGTTTTCCATTGCACCGCCCGCCATCGGAGTAGAGTTCATCTATATTACCTAAGACCACTGCGTTCATCCATATATCAGGTGGATCCTATGCTTCTCAAGGACTATACAAGTCTCTCTCTCTCTCTCTCATTCTCTATACATGGACAATAAAAAAATAGATTTTAAGTGTATTGTAAGAATTGCTTTAAAGCTGAAAACCCAGAACCTATGACTAGTTCGCGGTAAAAATGAATTAAATGCTAGTATTCACCAATCCATGAGTGCAAATCACAAAAATCCTTGCAACAAAACGTCAACCTCACAATATTATCATTCTGAAATATCTTATCTTAACTACCACAAATTCTTTTTAAGGCATCAACAGCGACTAAACCAATTTGGAAACAGTTTTCAAAAATAATTACAGGGCATACACATAATGTCCTTTTCGTAAATCATTTTAGAAATAAAAATAAATGAAAAATATTTCAGAGCAAATGGAAACGCAGGAATACGCTCGTGTTTAAATATAATTGGGCCCGATACATGCATGCTCAATTATACGGCTAGTGAGAGGACATCCGAGCGTTCGTATCGTATTTTCGAGAGCTCAGCACTGAAGCGTTACATTACTATACTCAAATCTACTTAAAAAACGTCACTGGATCGCGCCGTAGGATTTTTGCAGTAATCATTTGTTTGTAAGTAGCCATTCCAACCCAATTGTGACTTTGGGCTGATGTCATAAGCAGCTACGTTGCGATGTGAATAGTTTCTGGGAACGAGCAAAATCAACAGAGCCGTTAGACCGTTCGCCCATCATCGATTCGTTCTTTATTATTAATTTAAATGAAAGATTTTTGTGTATGACAAGAGAGGAACTTGGAATTTTCTTCCGACACAAAGAACTCTCAGTAAAGCCATAAGTCTGCTACCGACGTTTTTGCTTTCTTATTAAAACACGAACAAGACAACTTGTGAAAAAAAAATTTAATGTATTGTGTAAATTCTGCGATAATATTTTAATTTAAGGTTTAAAAATTACGTGGTAATCAATTTTATAATTAAATTTACAAGTGCATAAGTAAATGTTTTCCGTGAATTAGAGAGCAGTAAGAACATATTGAATAAAAATATATTTCTAAGCCAGAACAAAATACAAAAACAAGAAGAAGAAAATACGCAAAAATATTATGTTTTGTATATAGCATATCTATATTTCTATTCTTTCTTCTATTACCGCAAAGTATTCAAAAGTCCTTGTTTGAAGAGCAATACAGCCATATAAAATAAAAATTGAGGTGTCACGGTTTTATTAGCATGTTTGACGGCATTTACGTTGTGTTCTATATGGGCATTGGTAAGTACTTCACACTATAATTTGCTTAATGGGAGCCTTTTAACTTCTCGATCGCGTAAAAGTTAATTCGAATTTCGAAATTGTAAAATTTTTACTTTAAACTTTACACTAAAAAACTATAAAGTTAAAAATAAAATAAAAATATTAAGACTCATTGGTGTCTTAATAATTTAAGGAAGATAAAACCGTACTTCCACAATAGCCAGATATATCAGATAAAGCAATCTTCTAAAGTACACTTTACAAAATCATGTTTCATTGTTATGAAAATGCATCAAATACATTATTCAAAATCTCTATAAACATTGCAGTTATAATGGTTTTAACAATGAGGAAAACTTTTTAAGCAAAACGAGCTGACGACTCCAAATCGACAATGGGTAAGCGTCCATTATCCAAGAGCCTTAATTTTTTGCGTTCTTTAAGAACGTAATTAGATTTTTTAATATTACAAAATATATATTTTAAATCTTACGCAGGATTTTGTAGGATTTGGATCACTCAAAATTCATTATAGAACACCAGAAATAACATCCTATACAAACAGTGAAAGCGGCTTGAAATCAGCCGCAGTAAATTTTAAGTGCTCCATGTCTGTACTGAATAACCACTGAAGGGCTTGCATGATTAGAATATATAAAACGAAAGGGAGGGTACCTGATGTTCGTAAATGTAATGTTAACGATATTCGCGTGATGCCAACCAGAGGGAACAAATTAAATTTGAATAACTACTATGTCTACTACGTCGGAGCACTGTCATTTCGTGCCTCGATCTCATACAAAATAAAAATTTCATGAAATTCGTTTCCGATTGATTTTATGTTCGAAATGCGACTATCTAATCCTTAATTCATGGAAGCTTAATATTTTGGCGTTCTGATTCATATTCTGTTGTACTAATGAATTTTCTCTTATAGTGTAGTAGTATTTTTAGTGTTTTTGCGGTTCATATTTTTTTCATTTGTAGAATTTTTATCAATGATCAATAGAGTTACATTTATATTATATCAGATATTAATTATTCCTCATTTATTCTGTTAACTATTATTATGATTATTTTAATGTTGAATTTTAAATCGGCTTCAAATCAAGACACGTGTGTGGAAGTAGTTCCTGTTGGACAAATTCCGTAAACCATCAATTTTCCTTAAGGCCAGTGCACGCTTGATCTGGCTATCCTTCCCGGATGGAGTGGCCACCGCTAACTGGGCTCGTAATTGGACGATCCACCTGCGTCTTGTAATTCACCGTCATATTACGTAAGCGAATGTCGAAGGTCGCTTGGAGAATTCAAAAGGAAATTCTTGTGGTATGTTGTGTTTGTGTTGCGACGTAATAATATGACACCCTTTATTTTACCCTACCTATGCGGATAGCCTTGAGAGGCTATTTCAGCTTCTCCTTGACGTGCAGGTGAGCTCACCAGGGGCTCTAACCAGGAGTGTTGCTAGCACTGGCCCTAGCAAGAGCAGTGCTTTACAGAATCTACCACCGAATCGAAAACGCGACTCACTGAGAAGGTCCGACGAGAAACTCAGTGGGCTGTGTCTATGGGTTAGGAGACATCCAGAAAAGGAAGTAACATACCCGTTGGCAATATGACAGGAATTGCAGCATAGATGATAATAGATGTGTTGGTTTTCTTTATTATTATTTTTACATTTACTTTTTACTAGCTTAACACAGTTGTATAAAATCTACACACAGTAACATTTTAGTTTAGTAGAGAAAACGTGTTTGATATTAAATTCACCATTCTGAGTATGAACACGACTAGCATAAGATCGGTTGTGTTAAAAATCATCAGATACTGAGTTTTATTTATTAAATAGTAAAATCACAAACAACTAAGAAAACCAAAACATAAAGTGCAAAAATCATTTAACTAATGAATATAATAAAAAATAAAATTAAACTTATATAGTTTATATAGCCAAAAGAGCTCGACGGCTTAGTGATAATCACAGATCTTAAATTTCTTTTTAAGTGAGGCAAGTATACTATTAGTCAGTCATTATTGATGGGAAAACTGTCTATTTCTACCGTGAATCAGTAATGCGTTTCGGTTTGAAGGGCGGGGCAGGGGGGCATCCTCATCTTATTGAACAAATACTTTGAAATAAGAGGTAAATATCTCAACTGGTCTGGATTCATGTCCAATCAATGTTTCAAACCGTACTAAAGGATTTTTCAGCAGCGACTCTCTGTTTACCTCAGTCTATAACCATTTTTATTTTATTTTTATTGCTTGGATGGGTAGACGAACTCACAGCCCCCTGGTGTTAAGTGATTACTGGAGCCTATAGACATCTACAACGTAAATGCGCCACCCACCTTGAGATATAAGTTGTAAGGTCTCAGTATAGTTACTATTTAATTAAGTCATAATTCATAATTCAGTCTATATTATCTGTTTATATAAACCAATGTATTCGTAATCTACATAATAATAATATAATTTTATTTTCAAATTCAAAAGGTACCCTTGATTTGGTTCTTTATAATGAAAAGTCTAACGCGAATGATATTCAAAATTGATCTGTGGCTTTTTCATTTGATTAATTATTATTTACAAATAAGTTAGGTTTTTTTTTATATAAAGCTGTCTCGTTTCGTAATATTTATCTTTTGCCCTCATTAATTGATTGATGATGTGATATTTTATTAAAGTTTTTTTAAGAAGATATTATAATAAAATTGTTGTTTGTCTAAAACTCCCTAGACAAGTTAACCTAAAGAATTTCAAAAGCAAGATTTTTAGGTTTTATTATTCAATACTGATATTATATTGAAATCATTTTAATTTACGTGCTTATCGAATCCAACATACATTGTTACGTGAAAGTCCCCACCTAAGACATGAGGTCAAAGCCTGATTACATTCGAGTATAGATTATCTTTTATGCCATAACAATACACTTAATGGATTACTTTGCAGAAAAATAATGAAAGTGCCAACTACAGTTACTGCGGTTATAGATTATGGACACCGGTTTTATTATCAGCTAGAAGTCTAGTTCTTCTAGTTGAAATTACGTTATAGTTCAAACCGTTATGGCCTAAATGTATGGTCTTCTAAAATCTTTTTTTTTTTTTTATTGCTTAGATGTGTGGACGAGCTCGCAGCCCACCTGGTGTTAAGTGGTTACTGGAGCCCATAGACATCTACAGCGTAAATGCGTCACACACCTTGAGATATAAGTTCTAAGATCTCAGTATAGTTACAACGGCTGCCCCACCCTTCAAACCGAAACGCATTATTGCTTCACGGCAGAAATAGGCGGGGCGGTGGTACCTACCCGTGCGGACTCACAAGATGTCCTACCACCAGTTTAGATCGATCTTAAGTAACAATATCTTAAACAAAAAATAGTTTTTCTATACAGAAGTAGTTGTGATCGTCTAACCCCGTAGACATGTATATCGTTTGAAAAGTGGTGAGGCGTCGTGGCCTAAAGGATAAGACGTCCGATGCATTTGAATCTAGCTATGCAACGGTGGTCGAATCCTGCAGGCGTGTGCCAATTTTTCTAATGAAATACATACTTAACAAAGGTTCACGATTGACTTCCACGGTGAAGGAATAACATCGTGTAATAAAAATCAAACCTGCAAAATTATAATTTGTGTAATTACTGGTGGTCGAACTTCATGTAAGTCCGCACGGGTAGGTACCACCACCCTGCCTATTTCTGCCGTGAAGCAGTAATGCGTTTAGGTTTGAAGGGGGGCAGCCATTGTAACCATACTGAGACCTTATAACATATATTTCAAGGTGGGTGGTGCATTTACGTTGTAAATGTCTGTGGGCTTCAGTAACCACTTAACACCAGATGGGCTGTGAGGTTGTCCATCCACCTAAGCAATAAAAAATAAATAAATAAATAAACTCACATGTCAACGTGGAAAACACGAGACCGTAACATGTTTGAATATCTATTGAACAATTAACAAATCAAATAAAGCAGGAAGACGCGGAGAAGCATAGTGTATTGAGTGATCAAAACTTCAAGCTAGACACGACCTTCAACAATGAAGAGACCGACTAAGAAGAAGAAGAACAAACCATTAAAGTCTACTTCGATAAGAACCCCTAACGGCTTGTAAAGCTCACAGCTGGCATGAACATGGTAATTACCATTGATCATCAAAAACGCTTACATAGGCATATTTTCAATGAGTTCCTATAAAATATGACAAACAAGTACCACATATTATTACCTCCGTTTTCATTATTCCCAAGCAAGTTCTACTGGCGTAAGTGATCAAAGGACTCAGAGTGATAAATAAAGCTAATTTATTGACACCTCTACAATCTACACTACTTACAAATCTGCATCTAGCCAAAATTACTAAGTGTATTGATTGATAAGAACTGCTTGCAATACGGTTTGGTTTTTTTTCCTTGGTTATTTTCCACAGCTTATGTAAGAACGCATATAGCTAATACCTGCAGATGGTATTTAGGGGTGACAGAAAATTAGCACTGTTCAACACATCCAAGAGGTACAATATCCACTGGAAGAAAATGCAATAGGTAGTAAAATTTTTAGGAGGTTAATATTATAAATTGAAATTCAGTCTTGAACGTTATTTAAATCTAAATAGCTTGTGCAAGAGATGGATACAAAACTGTAATCTTTATTTATAATTTTTTATAAAACCTAATGAATGTGCTTCGAAATTCATTTGTTGATTAAAAATAATTATTTGAATTTTGTTTTTGTCGCAAACAGAATAAAACCGATTTTATAATTGAATATGCAATTTCGAAAAGGGCACATCTCTGAAAATGTAAAATGTTCAGGAAGTGAAAAAACTGATTATTGTCTAAAGCAGTGTAAAATTTAAAATTTTTGAAATATATTTTAGTGTTAATTAGCAATTGAAAATTACTGAAATTATTATAAAATGGGTGTAGGTAAACCTCAAAACTACGTGTATATGAAAAAACGTATTTGACAAAATATGCGACATGTGCCCTTTTCGAAATTGCATATTCAATTGAATCTATCACTGTATTTTAGATAATTTATAAATGAATATGACTATTCGATTAAATATTTCTTTGTCCTCTATCCCTTCGTAAACATTTAAGATGTGAAACTTGGTACAACTGCTTTTGGCAATTCAGGTTTCTTTTTTTTATTGCTTAGATGGGTGGACGAGCTCACAGCCCACATGGTTTTCAGTGGTTACTGGAGCCCAAAGACATTTACAACGTAAATGCGCCACCACCTTGAGATATAAGTCCTAAGGTGTCAGTATAGTTACAACGGCTGCCCCACCCTTCAAACCGAAACGCATTACTGGTTCACGGCAGAAATAGGCAGGGTGGTGGTACCTACCCGCGCGGACTCACAAGAGGTCCTACCACCAGTAAAAAGTTTTCTATAATAATTCCATTAATGAGCAAGAAATGACGCGCGATCGGTTTCAGGAAAACTGTGTTGTTTATACATATAATTAGCCAGCCACAGCAAACTGTGAAGATGCTTCAGTCTTATAAATATCATTGACTGTCCGGTTAGTTAAATGTTTAGTTAATGGCTTCGACCACGTCATTCAGTTTCTAGTCGGAGTCAGTGTATTTTTTTAAATTGCTTAGATCGGCAGGCGGCCCACCTGGTGTTAAGCGCTATGACATGTCCTTCTTCAAACGAGGCTTGTGGAGAGTATTTAACGGTAGACAGCGGCTTGGCTCTGCCCCTGGCATTGCTGAAGTCCATGGGCGACGGTAACCACTCACCATCAGGTGAGCCGTATGCTCGTCTGCCTACAAAGGCATAAAAAAAAAAGTGATTACCAACCACGTAATTGTTAACATCCACTTTGAGAGATGAGTTCTAAGTCTCAGTTTTACAGTACAGCAGCTGCCCCACCCTTCGAACTGAAACGCATTGCTGCTTTACGGTAGAAATGGGCCCTGCCACCAGTATTCGGGAACTGGAGAGATATCTATAATATGTTCTACTCGTATGATTCTTGGCACCCATAATACTGCAGAAAATCTTAGCTTAAGGTCTTTTCATAGGGAACATTTAACAAATTTTTTTATTGCTTAGATGGGTGGCTCACAGCCCACCTGCTGATACGTGATTACTGGAGCCCATAGACATCTATGATGTAAATGCGTCACCCACCTTGAGAACTAAGTTCTAAGGTCTCAAGTATAGTTACAGCTGCCCCACCCTTCAAACCGAAACGCATTACTGCTTCACGACAGAAATAGGCAGAATTATATAATACATAATTAATTCTTCAACAAACTCAAAAAAAAAAACTACTATTTTTCAATTTATATTTTGCATTCAGGAAATTAACAATACCCATTGAACTCACCAACAATAGCATACCATTCTTAAACACAACACCCCACACTACGCTTGGCTTAAGCTGATAGTAAACAGTCACTATTAACTTTTATCATTAATATAAATATATAAGGCACGATCGAATCGGCCAACGCGGTAGTTTTAACTGAAAACGCTTTGCAAGTCGCTCATCGCGTGTTTCAACGCCCACCGCTAGCTAAGGGCAGATGCTACAAACAAACAAAAAAAAAACATTACTGAACATAATAAAAAAATGTTAATAAAAAATAATAATATGGCTATTTATTTCGCAGATATCCAAATATATCATCAATAACATTAAATCGAAAAGGACCAAAAGAAATATGATTCTAACACATAATGAGTGAAGCATTACAAAAGATTTACATGGTGAACTCGCAAAAAAAAACGTCAAAAGATTTCAATTATTATTAAAAATACCGTATAAATATAAATTTGTACTAGTGTTTCAATGATACCTTTGTTGTTATTCAAGTTGCCATGGTAACCGCGTGTGGACTCTGTCGTTTTTCTTTTTGTTTTCAGATTAATTCGGTTTCTTTCAAAGATTTGTTTGTACAGTTCAGATTAATCTGACGAGAGTTATTGTGTTAATTGGCCAGTGCTTTGTTAAAGAATATAAACGTTAATCTGAGTGAAGTATTTTATGAATAAAAATCTAAAGTGTGAACTGGCTAGTATTAAAAAGCACCTTTAGTTCATGATAATATGATGTGTGCAGCCATTTTTATTTACATATATTATTTGTTGCAAATATTAAGATGACTGCGTTATCAAATGCTATTGAATTCAAGAATATTTTTACCACTTTGGACTGAACTTTTCACCAATGTGTTTACTGATTACTACTTCAAGTACTCTTAAAACAGTATATCTCGGTTGATAACGACGTGGATGTGGCAATTTATCTCTTCCTTAATAAAAATATTACAACTTTTCTATAGAAAAAAAAAAATTAAAAAAATATATACAAAAATTGTTGACAACATCTGTTGGTAACGAACGTCAGTGGGTAATATGACATTCGACTGCGGCACTCGCGACATCGCCTAATCGGTTACGTTACGGACTCTGATCGGAAACGTAAGTCTTGGAATTTCATTACTAAGTAAATACGGAAAGTACTTACTCTTTCACATAAAAACACAAACATCTTCACGTAAATTATAAACGCATTTTTTATTGCTTAGATGGGTGGAAGAGCTCATGGTACATCTGGTGTGAAGCGGCTACCAGAGCCTATAGACATCTACAACATAAATGCCGCCTCCCACCTCGAGATATGAGTTCTAAAGTCTGTTTTTACAGTAATTTGACGCCACGCCCTTCAAACCGAAACGCATTACTGCTTCTCGGCAGAAATAGGTGGAGTGGTAGTAGCTACCCGTGCGGACTCACAAGACGTTCTACAACCAGTATTTGAAATTTAAATACTGATTTGCTGAAATAGACCTTTCTGTGTACGATCGAGATATTAACTAGATATCTCAAGGTGGGTCATAGCATTCAGCTAATTATGTCAATGGTAATCACTTAGCACCAGATGAGTCGGGAGCTAGTTCCTCCATCGAGGGCAATAAAAACATCCTTACACATCCGATTTCCATCAATGACCGTAGTCAGTCAATTTACTGAACACAGAAACACATTTATTCAATGATCAATATTACATTTCATGCGTATTGTAATGCTTTAAGTTTATATTATGTATATAGTTGCGTCTAAAAACTGGCACTGAATCTTAGTCGTTTGGGGGTTAACAACAAGGGGAAGACTTTCCAACGCGCGGGTGATATTGCTCGGCAGACCGACGCGACGGTCAGAATGCTGTTGTTCGGAAGTCTGACCATAAATACTTTTACAAAAAAACTTTTCTTTTTTTCAACTTTTTAATTATTTTGAATTTGGAATACGTATATTATTTTAAAAACTTCTTTCGATTTTGTGCCATTTAACATATGTTTTGTGTTCATTATCAAATTACAATATGGAATGGGGCGTTTAAGAAAATAGGATTGCACTGATCGTCTTGCACAAAGTGGGTATGGAGTCGTCGGTCATATTCCAGACACAAAGCTTAGTATCAGCCGTATGTTCGTATATCGTACTATCGACAAATACAACACTTCATCTGTCGAAGACCAGAAAAGATCGGGGCGGCCGCGTGCTGTTAGAACTACAAAACCTGTTAATGCTGTTAAAGCCAGAATTCGTCGAAACCCCATTAGGAAGCAAAAAATCTTATCGCGCGAAATGAAGATTCTCGCCAGGACCCTGTCGCGTATTATAAGACAAGACCTGACAAGCTCGGTGCTTATCGTCGATACAGGACATGCCCTCAATCAATTTTTACAATTAAAGAGAGTGGATCGATCAAAACGCCTTTTGGCGCGATACGCAGGTGAAAGGCACAAAATATATACTCTTTACTGATGAAAAATTTTTCACGATTAAAGAACACCACAATAAGTAAAAATATGATAAAATGTACGTCACAGTTCTAAAGAAGATACTCGAGTGGTCGGAAAGGTACAACGTGGTCATCATCCTGTATCAGTGATGGTTTGGTGGGGCGTGTCTTATCAAGGAGTCACAAAACTACATTTTTGTGAAAAAGGAGTAAAAGCTTCAACCAAAGTGTATCAAGATACAGTCTTGGATCATGTTGTGAAACCTCTCAGCAATACACCTTTTAAAAATATACTGTGGACTTTCCAGCAGGACTCTACACCTGGTCGCAAGGCACGAACTACCCAAGCCTGGCTTGAAACCAACGATCCGAAATTTATAAGAGCTGAAGACTGGCCCTCGTCTAGCCCTGACTTCAACCCTTTAGACTTCAAATTATGGTCAGTTTTAGGGGACACGACCTACCCTAAGCGATATGGTGACATTGAGTCTCTTAAAAAATCTTTGGAGCAAGCAGTGGCGAAATTTCCCTTGATAACAGTGCATAAGTCCATAGATTCGTGCCCAAATAGATTAAAGATCTGTATAAAAGCCAAAAGTGGCCATTTCTAATAAAACATTTTTTTCTTGCTGAGAGTTTAATAAATATGTGGGTATAAATTTTAATAATATTACATTACTTCATTTAAAAAAAAGATGTGTGGTGTCGTGGGACACCGGATAGGAACGAAGTTCCATAAACAAAAACAAAAAAGAATTTCGAGAAAAAAATCGCGCTGTGAAATATCGCTGTGCGGAAAACAAGGCCTTATTCCATGGACTTTTTGCTTACGGTTTTTACTATCACATTTTTTTCAGTTCGGTCGCGCAGCAAAATCCCTATTTTCTCCTAACAGAATTTATGGCTGAACTAGGTATGCAAGCTTATCTTGCAAAGGTCCGAAGTGCGATTCAGTGCATCATCTTGTGTCGTATAATGTTTCAATTTCCCATTCCGGAAAAATCGAAGTCAGTCATTTGTAGTGTTTAAAACAATGAAGATATTTTCAATCACGTAGATACGGGCTTTCCAATAGGAAATTAAGCGCCATCTAATCACACGACGTACGAAATCTAGTACGATAAGATAAAATTAAGTTGTAAAAGAAAATATTAAAGTAGAATATGAATTGAATAAAATAATTCCATTCGACTATATGTGTGTATTTAAGAAAGTATTTTAATAACATGCTAAAATCTTTTCGATCGCTATTCCTTCACCGTGGAAGTCATTCGTGAACATTTATTATGTACATATTATGTTATAATAAAAAATCACGTATGGCACTCGGGAACTGCCGCGGTAAAGCTATTGCATAGCTTCTTTTATCAACTTATGCAATTATAATTAGACAATAATAATTTAATATTAAAACAATAATAAAATAAGACCACGCTATATTTAAAAGCATTAACAAAAGCAAAACTTTAACTGTCCCCTTCACAGTCATAAGCTAGACCGCGCGAGAGAGAGATGGGCAGACTTCACAAACGGTACGCAAGCGCAACGTCTGAATATGTTATGGTAGGCGGAGTGGGGGTGTTAGGTTTTATTTTTGTTACGGAATTTATTGATTCGGTCGCCGCGCTCAAAGCGCAAAAGCTATGCAATAGCTTAAAAAAACTTGCCTGCAGATTCGAACACCGGCACCGTCGCTTCGCTCGATACGAATGAACCAACCGTCTTGTCCTTTAGGCCACGATGACTTCAAAATTACAATTTCTCATAAATATCTCACCGTTTTTATTGAAATAGAATGTTCACTGTTACCTTTAAATTTTTTAACCATTTAAAACACCAGACGGACACAATGTTATTAAATTCTTATTTTATTTAAATTTTAACAACAAATGTTGACAATCCCTAAGAGGAAATAGGACTACAATGCAAAGTTTTTAGTGAGATATGCAAATGAGTAATTGAATTTTAAAAGGCTTAGCTTCAATCGTAGTAGTTTATAATAACTGTCTATCATTTCAGTGTTTTATAAAAAATAAAACAGTAAATCTCGTTATGAACAGGCTTTGCCGTTCAGCTTGAGACGAAACTTTATTTCATAAAGCTCATAATATTAGTTGTAAGAATTTAATTCCACTAATCCTGTAGAATATCGTTTTTTTTTATTAAATTAAATTATCAGTATAATGAATATCAGTATTGGAAACGTTAATGATACTGTTTTACAAGTTTTAAAGCAGAATAATAGAGTTGACGTACTGTATCATCACTGTATTAGTTAGTGCCGTGAACGCGACCTTGGTGTGTTAATCGATCGGTAGCAGCTAACCGTCGCAACAGACTATCATTACATTTACGACTGTCCACCACGAAATGCCAAAAGCACCCCAAAGACACCCATCCACAAAAAGGACAGACACTCTTCATTCAACATTTACAATGTTTCCTCAAGATCGCTTAGTGAATTTCTTCGCTGTTTTTCCTCCTCATTTTTATTCAATTTCATTTGAAATTAAATGACTGTTGTATCCTTGAATAGTCGGTGCCACCTCTTCGAAAACAGAATTCATTCTTTAACATAGGATATTAACTACTGGAGTGACCTACAAAGAGACTCGAGAAATTTTGGCAGAATGAGCAGCAGTTTTATTTGTGTATTATTTAAACCAGAATGCTGAAATTTCCATCTGCCTTCACTGCTTACTATAC